ATTTTACGAGTATCACCCGGCCGTTAACGTACATGTGAGTTAACTATTTTTTGTCTCACTTTCACGTCATGACCCGATACGGCCGCGCATTGGTCCGCGGCGGGCCTACAACCAACAACATGCATGTGCAGTGGTGCACAAGTACGTATAAGCATTGAGCATGTACACAGAACGGTCAAAATCGCACCCTTGGCCTGGGCGCCACTATTATAGCGAGCCCTTACCTGGGGACCCCGAGCTATTATGTTCATTAACAATAGAGATTAGGCGGAATGACAGGCTGAGCGTTCACATAGCCATGTGCCTACGCGTACTGCGGTCGCGCGCTACTGCAAGCGAGAGGGCTCTGGTTAGAGCAAGGCTGAGCGCGGCCCAGTAAAGCGAGCCCATACACCATATTGCATATCGAGATCTATCCCACTTCAAGTACAAAGTTGAAAGTAATACCCATTACTTTACCTGGGGACCTCTGGCTATTATAATTATGTTCATAAATGACAGGCTGAGTAGAGCGCCGCCCAGTATCCGTTACTTTGATTGCCTAACCTTAACCCTAACCATAGCCCTAGTCAGCCACGGTCAAAATTTAATTGCACTCGCTAGGCTCCGGGCGACCGGGCGAGCTACCTTCAAATTTACTTGTATCACGTCTACTCCTAACTCCAACAAATAACTAAACTGGTGTGGGCCCATATTATATATATATATTTGATTTTAGTGTTTCTTGCTAAATCATAAATGTTTGGTTTTTTTTTCTCGAAATATTATGACCCGAAATATTAGGCTTTTACTAAATCGCTCGCCCAAAAATTTCACGTGACTTTTGTTTTTTGGTTTTGCAGCCGTACAAAACGGTTTTACATAAACCCTAATCCCAACCCTAACCCTAACCATAACCCCGAAGCTATCCATAACCCTTATCACAACCCTAACCCTAACCCGAGCCCTAAATAATCGAATTCACGTTTTACTAGCCTGTCACGTGACCAAAACGGTTTTTTGCCCATAACTCTCCAGGGAAGCATTTTAACCTTACGTCATGGGGGTGATTCGGAATCAGCGTCAAAAATACACCGATCTAGATCACTTTCATGCCTAAAGCTAGGGCCTTTTCACAAGAATTTTCTTAAAATTTGGGCGAGCGATTTAGTAGGAGTGGAAATATTATGACCAGGGTTGGAGTCAAAGTAGAGGATTCAGGTTTCAAATAATAATTTAGGACCACTTAGAGAATGTTTTTAAAAAGTCACGCGACAGTCGAGTGTAGAGTGATTAATCATATCCAAAAGTTTTACACGATGTAAAATAAAGCGCGCCGCGCACTTTCCATTATTTACTATTGCGTATAAGACTTTGAATGTGAATCGAGCGCTATCAATGCATTCATACACATAGCGAATGCTGAACATCTTCTGTTGGCGGCTGCATTCTTTTACTTGCGTAATTCTATCGTTGCACTATCCAGTATCCATGCAGTACGTATCCTTGCTGTATCCTTGTATCACTCCAACCTTTCCACTTTAATACGCTGCATCAACTATAATTTAGACCCTTTCGAGTGAAGCAAAAGGAATTGAGTTGTCATAAAGTATTGTTAAGGAATAGGGTTGATGTCGTTTTAGTTTATTGTCATTGACAGCTTCATCTGCGGTGCCCAACCTGATGTTAGTTTTTTATTCAATTTGATTTGATTTGACTGTGAGTTGTCTTTCTATTTATGTAGACATGATGGATAGTAACAAACACGTTTGAATTAAACCTTGATATTTTGACATCGTAAAAGATCATCTTAAAAGTTTATCTTAGTCATGGCTATGAAACTGTTGACCTCCCATGGATCGATAAAATGTTGAACTAAATGGAATACCGCCCATTAATTGCTTGTTCCACAGACACAAATGAATTAAACTGAATCCACCGCCTAAATTGTCACCTCTTTCTCCCCTTAGAGAGTTAACAGGCTGATTATATTTAAGTTTTGTAGATCAGTAATGCGGAACGAAAAAAACTTACAATTCTGGGAACAGGTAACCAAGACTAATTGGGCCAGGTTTGCCAAATCAGTCTCTCAGACATGCTTTATTTTATCTTTTGAATGGAACCTCTTCGTACTGTGATGAAGCATTAAAAATTGAAATCAAATAATTCTTCAGTTAGTATAATATTGTACTATGTTTACAGTACACTATAATGTAGAAGAAGGGGTAAGCTAAGAAGATTAATGATCTTTTGGCAGGGTCCCTCCTCATTTAACCTTCAATCACGGTTTTCCGATCATTTGGCTGAGTCAACCTTGAAAGAGACATTACACAATTGGCACTTACCAAAAGTTCATATTTTCGCAAACATGTGACTGATTGACTCGATTCAGGAGTTTCTCTGTGCTGTGTTTTGATCTCATTGCAGAATATAACTTGAAAATGTGCTTATAAATACTAAGCTATATCAATTATAGTATAACTATATTGTCTGACATTTCGGCTAGACCCATTTCAATGGCCTTTAAATATATAGAAGAAACTAAGGTACAACTAAAGGTGTAATTGAGGGATAAATTAGCTCTAGGAACTAGTTTCTTCTGGCAAAGCCCTTGGTAAACACAGTTTGGTGCGCACTACCTTAGCTTGGCAAAAATAAGAGATGTGTGAAATAAGAAGGATATGGCGTATTATATATAGGATATAAGGATACAAGGAAACAAAAATTACAATTACTTAAATTGAGCTCACAATAATCGTAATCCGGAATTAATAATTTAGTTTGATAAAATTCCAATAATTAACAAATAAGTACATGTAGGAATAATTTACAAATCTTATGTTCATATACAAATAAATCCAATTTGTAGGGTTGAATTGTATCTTGTGGTCCTATAGCATTTTATAGATATTAGATATGAAAACAATTAAAGTATCCTTATCAGAGTTTCATATATCATCAACAAGTGAAGATCACTTTTAAATGGATGAAGTAACCAGAAGAGTCAACGAGAAAGGGAGGGAAAGTAAAATGTATGTCAGCAATAGCAGCAAATCTGGGGAAACTTTGAAATACACCACTTTGAAGCATTTAACCACCCCTTAAAAATCACAGAATATGAATTCTAGTAATCTGAATATTTACATAGGTTCAAAATTGTCATAGCTTTATGATAGTGCAACGAAAAAAATCTCAGAACATTTTAGTGCTGAGTTAGGTGGTTAAGTAGTCGAAATATGACTGATTTATTAGTCATATTTCATACCTCTTCTAACACCCAAACCCTTACTACAGTGAAGATATGAGTAGTACAGTTAAAATTGATGGTCATAATTGAACAAAAATGGTTCGTTGACACATAGTTGAAGAAGGAAATTAAAAAAATTAATAAATGTGGTCTGTGGAGTGATTTATTTGTTTATGTTATAGTGTACGCGTGCGTGCGCTTGCGCATACTTAACCATCTGTTGGCCAACATATTTAGTCTATGCTTAAATTATTTATATATTATGTCACCACTATGGTGCCCAATACTTTTAGTGAAGGTCTGATGTAGAACAGTTAACCACCAACAGTGGTATATCAAAAAAACCATGTTTGTACGCGTGCGCACGCTTGCGCGTACTTAACCACCTGGTATGGCACAGCATTGAAATATCATCATAATTTCAAAGGCAGACATGTTTATTTTGGACTTTCGGTCAACAGAAGCCATCACAAATTAACCATTATTCAGCAACCTCCGAACTTTTGGTGCCTTATTTTGTTTTGATATTTGATTATGAGAGATAGCTGAAGGATAATTAATGATTTTAAAGATAATGCAACAGAATGTGTGGCCGTATGGCGGTTAAAACGACCAAAAACACTGATTTAGGTCAATTTTAGACCTTTATTAACCATGCTGGACGCAACAAAGGACTCAGCAATGTTTCTGTGCATATAAATGAGCTGGTAGTTATATCTAGATAATGCAGCATGGCCAGCTATAGCTTTACAAAGCTAATATAATGTGCTCTAAAAATTGTTAATTAGTGCAAATATAGGGTATTTTCGAGACATTTTAACCACCTTAGCTGCACATTGATCGGAATGCATGAACTTCGGGTCAATTATGCATTTGCAAACAAATATACACTCAATTGGATAGCAAACCATTATCTGAAGTTCATATTGTGGTTAATTTTCACTTTAATAGATGCCTTGTTCAACAGCCTAGCAAGTCATATAGCTCTTTTAACCACTTTTATGACAACATTTCTTGATAACTTTTATCAAAACCTTTCAAATGTCCTTTGTTGACCAGAAAAAGTTGACTCAAATCATTAATAATGTTTTGATTAATGGTTACCAAAAATTTTTGACGTTTTAACCATCTTTTAGCACTTTTTATGAATATTAACCACCTAAAATCAACCATACTATTAAATTGCACATTTGTGATGAAAAATTATCATCCATGTACAAATGAACAACCACCACTATACATCTATAATCAGAGCAATATTTATTGCTCATCTTTCATTTTCCATTTACCCACCATTAGGACCACAAAATGCCCCCAGTTAGGTTTTAAAACTTTTGTAATAGTTGCACCATGGGATGATCTCAATATAATGACTACTCAGTTCATAATATCATATCTCAGAATGGTGGTTAACCCTAAAACTGGTATTTTAACCACTATAGTGGGCACATAGAGGATTCATTAACCACAATTATTCAACATAACTGTACTGCAGTGTTTTGTGCACCAGAAAAGCATCACTCCAACATTTAGATTAACCACAATAAGCTGCAAAATCATGTTGAAGTCAACATACTCAAAATGTGTGAAAAAAGTCAATGTCCACCAAGTTTCCCCAGATTTGCTGCTATTGCTGATGTCTAAAGAAGTGGATTGGCCAGAACTTTCTGCATTCGATTTATAGACTCAAACAAATCAAACAATTTTTGACTGTGTGTTTTTTACTGTGTTTCGACTAAAATCTACATAGTATAATCCTTTATCAATAACTTTTCATTTTTAGCAAAGTTTAGAGTTCTGATGTGCCAATGGATGAACCATGACAACCATGTATTGTAACATAGGTCCTGGAAGTAGAAAAACGGTTGGTTACTATGTCATAATGTTTTACTCTCCAACACTATTATTACCATACACAACAGTTTGTGATTTGCAAGCTAACTGTTATATGGCTTCAAAATATTGTACATCTTCCCCCTAAATTAGACCATTATGTTAATTGTTAATTCTAAAAGCTTCTCTTCAGGACTTCTCATTCATAAGAAAGATTGGAAGAGGTGGTTTTGGCGAAGTTTACGAAGCAAAGTGCATTTCTACTGGAGAAGTTGTTGCCTTGAAGGTTCTCGACAAAAGAAAACTAAAAAAAGAAGAATACCGGAAAGTTTGCAATGAGATCGAAATACACAAAAACATTCAACATCCGAGCATCGTTAAGGTATTTATATTCCCTTTATGAATAGTGAAATGATTTATATATTCTCTGTATTGAACTCTAAACAAAAATTACAGACTCTAAATAATGGTCACCCTGCACTTTTTGGTTATAGTCGCTGCAGGCTTATCTTACCAAATAGATATAATAAAACCACGTAGAACTGAGACTAGAATCTCAGACAATTTTAAAACCAGAAGCTTGCAGTTGTTGTAATTTTTTACTCAATTCACTCTTCCCCAGATGTACGGATGGTTTGAGGATGTTAACTTTATGTACCTGGTTTTAGAAAAGTGTTGCAATGGAGACCTTCACCATTTCCTTAAACGAAGAGGAAATCCTTTACCTGAAAGCGAAGGTAAGTTGTGTCGGGGTAAGGTAAATGCAGGGTAGTCCAGAATGATCTTCATTTCAAGTCACTGTGAGACATCTCCGAGATTGCAGGGTACTCACAGTGATATTGCAACATGTAACAGTTTATTGTGGGTCACCCTGTAGTAATGATCTCCCATTTTAAGGATTCTGAATTCTTAATTTTAGTGTTTTACGCTTATTATCAACTTCATGAATCTAATATGTTTACTTTAGATTAAATACGACATGAATCTTATATGTTTACTTTAGATTAAATACGACATGAATCTAATATGTTTACTTTAGATTAAATACGACATGAATCTAATATTTTTACTTTAGATTAAATACGACATGAATCTAATATTTTTACTTTAGATTAAATACGACATGAATCTAATATTTGTACTTTTAATAAAGTTTGATTACACTGACAAGTGACGGTACACCCTACACTTGATTTGTAACAATTCCTATCCACAGCTCGGGAACTATTTGCACAGCTGGTAGATGGTGTTATACATCTACATAACAGTAACATAGTTCACAGAGATATCTCACTCAACAACCTGCTCTTAACTAAAGACATGACCCTGGTAAGTACCCAACTAACAAGATGAAGTGTTTAGTATTTGACTCGAAAAATAATTTAAACAGCCATCGTTAGACTTGAAAAACAGATCAGTATTAACATTGTTTTTGTGCTGATATAACTGAAAGAGTGAAAGTGATTTGCTCGTCAAAAAATAAGGGATCGTCCAATTATTCGTTATTACATCATAACCTTTCTTGTATCAGAAGGATACAAAATAACTCATATGAAGTCTTGCATATTTTTGGTCCCATTCTCTAAACGTCTTCCTTTCTGAAGTCTGAACCTGTCGCAGTATATTTAAGCATTTATGAGTTACAACTTACAGACATTCTGCATTAGGTGTCACGTGACCATGGTCATTCCTACCGCAAGGTTAAATTGACCTTGAGAAATTTAAATTGACCCTGAGAAAATTAAATTGTCTTTATTAAGGAGGGCTTGGTCCCCTGCAAGGTAAACGTTTAAAATTCAAATTCCCGTCGAATTTTCTCAAAAGTACGTGTATAAAACAGTGATGCCCCGTTTAGACCGAGTGTTATGAATTGCAATTGTGCAGACAACATTAGACGTTTTATCACACTGGTGCGTGTCAATCCTTGCCCTGTTCATCATGCTGTCCTTTCCAAATATTTGCAACAGTTTTCGTCGCCATGGCAACAAGACAAGCACCCAGTACTTCGTAAGGGTCTTGCTTGAGAGAGGCGAACAAGCAGTAACGGCTGCTCACGTGATAAAAATACTCCTCCCTTATTGGCTCCTTGCCACATTTCTTGCATTCCTATTGGTGGAAACGTTGCACTGTACTGCGAGAGGTAATGTTCAGTGGTGTGCATGACAAGGCCTCTCGATCTCTGAAGATTTTCTCGTGTTACTGGAAATATGTTTGTAAATATGGTGTAATATGGGTAATTAGGGTAATAAGGTTCCTTGTTATGTTTACCAGTAAACACTAAACATGAAACAACTTGTAATATATCCTTAATAACATGACAAATAACGTTATGATTAGTGTATCAGCATGATGATTACCACCGTTATCTCCTACACAGTACTAACAATATATAGATACTGTGTGTCCTACACAGTTCTAACAATATATAGATGTTGTTATCTCCTACACAGTTCTAACAATATATAGATGTTGTTATCTCCTACACAGTTCTAACAATATATAGATGTTGTTATCTCCTACACAGTACTAACAATATATAGATGTTGTTATATCTCCTACACAGTTCTAACAATATATAGATGTTGTTATCTCCTACACAGTACTAACAATATATAGATGTTGTTATCTCCTACACAGTTCTAACAATATATAGATGTTGTTATCTCCTACACAGTACTAACAATATATAGATGTTGTTATCTCCTACACAGTTCTAACAATATATAGATGTTGTTATCTCCTACACAGTACTAACAATATATAGATGTTGTTATCTCCTACACAGTTCTAACAATATATAGATGTTGTTATCTCCTACACAGTTCTAACAATATATAGATGTTGTTATCTCCTACACAGTTCTAACAATATATAGATGTTGTTATCTCCTACACAGTTCTAACAATATATAGATGTTGTTATCTCCTACACAGTACTAACAATATATAGATGTTGTTATCTCCTACACAGTTCTAACAATATATAGATGTTGTTATCTCCTACACAGTACTAACAATATATAGATGTTGTTATCTCCTACACAGTTCTAACAATATATAGATGTTGTTATCTCCTACACAGTACTAACAATATATAGATGTTGTTATCTCCTACACAGTTCTAACAATATATAGATGTTGTTATCTCCTACACAGTACTAACAATATATAGATGTTGTTATCTCCTACACAGTTCTAACAATATATAGATGTTGTTATCTCCTACACAGTACTAACAATATATAGATACTGTGTGTCCTACACAGTTCTAACAATATATAGATGTTGTTATCTCCTACACAGTACTAACAATATATAGATGTTGTTATCTCCTACACAGTTCTAACAATATATAGATGTTGTTATCTCCTACACAGTTCTAACAATATATAGATGTTGTTATCTCCTACACAGTTCTAACAATATATAGATGTTGTTATCTCCTACACAGTTCTAACAATATGTTGTTCTGATAAATTATGACTCATCATGTGTGAGCCTCACTTCACTGGGGACACCAACTCATCAATAACACGTAATAACATTGTATTGTGTACAATAGTCATGATACAATTAGGGATAATACAGTGTACTATTAGGGATAATACAGTGTTCTGTGTTCCCAATATTGTCCCACGGATACGAATTAGTAGCACCAGTGGTCAACTTGGACACCTGCAGTATGTCATGTGACCAGTATATCATGTGACCAGTAGTCATGTGACCATGTTAAACAGTGTGTGAACTGTGGGATCGGTCATGTTATACTAATGATTGGGGCGTCTTCCTCTCGGAGAAATCGTTATTTTTAATTAGAGATCTGTAATCAGTACTTGTTTCTAGTATGTTCAGTGATCATGAGGTACTTGTAATTTGGTTCATTTAATATAATTCAATCAGCTGGCTTGATTATAAAGTTAGATTAAAATGAGCAGAAAATGAAAAATTGAAATGATTTAATTCGATCCTGCCGGTATGCCCAAAGGTTGGGAACTTGTTCGTATTTTTGAAACACTCGGTACCTATAATCTAGGAATTAACAGTACCGTATCTTTGCCACTTGCTCTGATCAAAGCTGAAAGCGATCTAATTAAAAACATTGAATCTTGTGTTATTGGTCAAGAGCTGATAAATTCCCAAAATAAGACGCTTAGATGATGTTAATGTGTATTAACAAACAAAGGCTCACAGACGATGTTAATTAAATTGATAACAACAGTAAATATTGTGTACCCTCGAGCCTGTTCTAACACCTGATTAGAACGAAGCTTATCTTATATCTAACCATTTTCTTAAATATTTTTAATGATCGAATGATCGAGTTATACTGTACGCTTTAACATTTTAATTAGCGCAGACTTGAACCACATTTTTGTAGGATCATGTTATCTTTACTCTTATCAACCCGATCAGAGCCAGATGAGCGCATAAATTACCTGGTTACCTGGTTACCTGGTTACCTGGTTACCTGGTTACCTGGTTACCTGGTTACCTGGTTACCTGGTTACCTGGTTACCTGGTTACCTGGTCACCTGGTTACCTGGTTACATGTTATCTTTACTCTTATCAACCCGACCAGAGCCAGATGATCGCTTAAAAATTAAGTTAACAATTTTAAAAGATCTCTTATGCTAATATCACAGTATTTTATAAACTTACAATATGGCATGGTCTGATATGAAAACCTTGAATTTAACTGTAAAGATGTAAATTCCAGTTAAATTTAAACAATTGATATCAATTATTATAAGTATTTTCAGTATTGTAGCTAAACTAATTCTCAATTTCAGAAACTTGCTGACTTTGGTATGGCTAAGCGACTGTCCGGACCTCAAGACACTCACAGAACAATGTGTGGAACTCCTAACTTTATGTCTCCGTGAGTTAACTCCCTGGCTGTAGCAACAAGTTACAACATGTCACAGAACTGTTACACTTACAAATTTACAGTTCAACCATCAACCACTTTATTTTAACTGTCTAGAAAATGATCGTTCAACTTAATTGATTGAAGGTATTAGAAAGTAAAGAAAAGGGGATCTGTTAATTGATTTGAGCTTCATATCTCCCATATCTGTACCACTTTATATCTGTACCACTTTATATCTGGATCATTGTTAAGGATTTTCTAGGAACCATTCCGAGCTAAAGCTTTTAGCAAGGAGGTAATTTATTTTCCTGATTTAATGTCCTCTCCTTCCCCCTAGGCTATCGAATGTAGATTGTAGAATATTGCTCAATCTAACTGATGGCAGACATTAAAATAGCTAAGTTATCAGCCATTATCAAGTCTGCTGTGCCCTAACTGCAACAGTTGCAATTCTGTCTCTCCGGTGGGTGCACGACCTACCGCCACCTAGAGTCACCATTCTGCTGAAACCGGACTTACTCACAGCAACTCAGCTTACAATCACATTAAATACTGTTAACTAACTCTTCCTCCAATCAGAGCCTTGTGTTTCTATCACGTGGGTGTGATCAACCAATGGGGCTCTACTTTTGAGTCTCGGTTCTCGGAACGGTGTTCAGCGGGGAAGCGGCGGGAAGATTTGAATTTGTCAATATATTTATGAGTGGCTCGGTCATTAGTGAGTGAGAGATGGTGTTAATAATGTCACCTTGGAAACAGCATATTATAGTTTATATGTCAATCAGGGAATATGGGTTATGTCTAATTATCCTTAATTAACCATGCGACCTGTCCTCAGCCTGTTAGACGGATTTAATTTACTGAACTGATTTGATCACCACTCACATGAGTTGTGACCAATGATAAGGTGCATTTAGGATAATAATACGGATGACTAGTCATAGTCTACCTCTCGAAACATTTCCTGATGCAAGGCATTTTAGTGTGACCTGGGTCCTGATATGATTTTAAGCGCAAAGCGGGATTCGCGGTGCCGCCGCCGCCTTTTTAGCACCGTTTCATATTTTAGTACCGTTTATATTTTAGCACCATTATATATAATACCGTCGCTATAGCGATAAATTCCTGAAATATTTACCTGTAAATACTGTAAATTCACAGTCTTCATTCCGGTTAATCAGCTCCAAAAATAACCATATATAAAAACATCACGTCTCTCCCATTACGCTCTATGTTGGGAGTGTAGGTCTGTTTGTGTTGAAGAGGGAAATATTATGCGCTATATAAGTATAACCAGTCAAAACACTTTTAATTGACTCTCAACTTTATAATTGACTCTCAACTTTATAATTGACTCTCAACTTTATAATTGACTGCCACAGCTCATGTCTTTAAGTAACTTGTAAGAAAGTCCCTGTTTGTAATGTTCCTGTACTTTTTCAGGGAGACGCTGAACAATGCTGGAAGAGGGTTCATGGCTGACTGCTGGGCGTTAGGGGTAGTGTTATTTCACCTACTTACGGGCGAGCTCCCGTTCGAGGTAGATATTTATTGGTATTTCTGATTGCTATCTTTATTTCAGATTCCTGTAAAACCAACATTGTTATTTTGTTGGGAAGTTCCAAAAGCTGATGAATTCAGGTAAAAGTAAAACTGAACAGTCTCTAATTCAGTCTTCTAATCTGTCCACCGCTACAGGACACGGGGGTTAACGAGATCTTGCGGCGAGTTAAAAGTGGCAAGTTTCACATTCCGAACAGCGTGAGTGTAGACGCACGCTCTCTCATCGGCCTTCTCCTGCAAGCGGACCCACGTAACAGAGTCAGTGCACAGGAGATTCTCAAACACTCCTTCATGATTCCTGCCCCGCAAACTGTAAGTTTAAATTATGTAAATTAATATGTTATTTATGTTATATATATTTTATTATTATGTTAAAAATCATTTTTTAACTGTTCATTAGCCAACTTTAAGGTATTCCAGTTATTTTAACATAGCTGCCCAAGTCTTTGGAAAGTTCCGGTGGTATTTATTGCAGTATAATCCGGGTAAATCCACGACACTAACCCACATATACCGCGGACCCCTTCTCCAACATTCTTTCCCCAACTAATAAAACATATTCCAGAATTTTCATTGAATTGGCGTTCATGGCAAATACTTGCCCTCTTACAAAATGCGACAATATGTTTTACTAAAAATGTCCGTTATGCTTAAACACTCTTCTGCCGTTAATATGGCACACTGTACCCGAAAATAATAACCCTAACGTGACAGATAGAGTGCTTATTTGGCCTTCTCCAATGTTCTGCGAGCGTGCCCTCAACTCAATAACGGAAGATAAATACATGCGCTCTCGACTCTCTCTCCGTCTCACTCCCGCTCGCCCACTAATTGTCTCTAATAAAATCTTCCAACGGTCACCATGGCAACGGTAAAATGATCGTTACCAAATCTTTCCATTCATTCCCGCTCCCATCTTTCCTTTGCTCACCCCTGGTGATCATTTAATTAAACTTTTGGGGAATTGACAGGATTGGCTGATAAAAGTCACGTGATTTGAGTTGTTCTATCTGATTGGTTCTGGAGATAGCAGTTGTTTTTGGATAGTAACCTGTTGTTTTGCTTTTTTGGTGCCATCATTTTAACTTTTTTTCCGGTGGGATTTTTTGAAATTATACGCCTTCTTAAGTATCAAATCATATCCAGATAATATGATCGCATCATATGAAAATGGTGTTATCTAGTGTTTGATTAGTTTAGTCCGTTGGACTGGACTAGATTACTTTGACTCAGAATGGTATTACGTTTCAATTTGTGGGCCGTGTTTGCACCGCCTCTTGCTATGAACACTATATGCTTATGTTTCCTATTTTTGTTGCTTGTTGATTGCCCTGTTAGATCTTTACATTGAACAGCTATTGGAATTGTTTGTTGCTTGCTTTTAATTAACTATTTTCTGTCTTTTCATTGTGTAATGTTATTCCAATGAAAGTCATTGAAAGCAAACCAGTCAACCAACTCAACCCCAAAGAAGTACCATGACATTACACTATGTGTGACACTTACCACGATCCTTCCTCCTGCGCAAAGCGCACGTGCTGCGCTGCCTCCTGCACAAAGCGCACGTGCTGCGCTGCGAGCGGCACAGTGCGCTCCTATTCGCACAGTCTATGTGACGAGGTGCTAAAGCGAACTGTTACTGTCGAAAAGTGCAGTAAGTGCAGTCGGGCTCGGTTTGTGGTCCTTCTGCACGACTGCAGCTCATCTAGGCAACATGTAGGTTCAAGATTTGAAGACTTTTATTGGTTTAAATTAGTTGAGTTATTTTAAAGTAGGTTTGGTGGCAGTGTCATTCGTGATTTCTGAAGTTACAATTTAGAACCACAGTGAAATTACCATAGTTTAGATACCATATAATATATTAGTTTAGTTAATTATATTGGCGTCAGAATTTGGCCTCTAAGTTAGCAAACGTTATGATATTACACCCTTTTCAGCTTCGTGAAATTAAAACCTTTTAATCTGTATTTTTATTGTAACATAAATAGTTTCGATATCAGATCACTTGACCCTTCAGTAGTATTTTATCATCTCTCTGACTCTATGGTAGTATTTGCTGGGAATAAGAGATGGCAGATGGTAGCCATACTTCATTATATTCAGAGATAACGGTGTCATTGGAGGTGTTGAGGGGTGCACTTTGCCCCCTTTTCAGCATGTATTCATTAAGGGTTCCACTTCAATACACTAATCATTTACTCTAATCATTGACATGACTCTAGCATAGCTCTCAAATTACCAAAATGGGTGAAATCTCTCACTTGCCCTTTAAATTGCTCTCTCTAAACGATTTCTCAATGTACTGTGAAACTTTGTGTCAAGTTGGTCTATAACAACTATACAATTATACCTCCCTCGGGGTGTATAGTACCTCTTAGAATAATGGCTAATATCATAGTACGGTGTATGATTTTCTTAACAAACTTTGGTCAAGAGCTTCAAATGTTTCACCATAATAAATAATATGTGCCTTTATACGGTCTACCTTTCCAGTTCACTTTTCAACATTGCTGTGGTCATTAACATGTCATTAACATGCATTAGGCGAGGCTTGATAAGGTTATCTTATTTTACAGTCCTCTGGTTCTTACAAACTTTCACTGCAGCTTTCATAACTTATATATACAAAGATTTGTGTACATTGCAATAGAGGTGGTCGTAGTTGGTACAATAGGTACATAAAAGGGACAAAGGTACAAGTTGAACAGTGGTATGTTCGAAGTGGCGTTTTACATTCCACGATAAGCTAAGACAATATGTGCACATTACGGGGACTAATTAACTGTGTTCTCTACAGTGCTACTTCCATTGTTTACTGAGTAAACGCGAGATGTCTTATGGTTCCTTGGTATTTATCGACCTTGCCCCTCGGTAACTTAGCATATACCTAGAAGTAACAGTAACGTTGATTTGTATGGGATTGCTAGAGTTTTACAGATTAACAACGTCATGATGCTGATTAAAGCCCTGGCAATCTTGACGTGATTTAAACTGCCTGATTTCTGAAACCCTGGAAACCCAATCATCATCGTTCAGGCCAATCGCTTCATAATTCTTGGTTAAATATTGTGACAAATTATCGCTACAGGCGTCATTTTTATTACTAAGTCATCTCGTTGCCTTGGGAACAAACTGCCAAGGATTTCACCCAATTTTCGGCGTGAAATTCGTTCAAAGACGTACGACGCCGTGTCAGAATTTACTCAATTTTCTGCGCGCACCATCAATTTTATAAAATAAAACCGCCCAAATTTTGCTGGCACGCATTGTTGTATCTGTCGGTTAAGGAATTTTATGTATTTCCTGCTACGTAGGTGTCAGTACCGCCTACTCTCTAGTGAGCTGATGCCAGGTCTCACCTATTTTACATTCCAACCATTATCAGTATGAGTATTCTTGTCTTACAAGTTTTCACACCCACAATTTTCAGGTGTTTTCCGGGGAATCCGCCGACAGTGGTCACGGTACCTTGGATTCCAACGAGTTTTCGGGACAGAACGACCTTTCCGATGACGAGATGAAAGTCAACCAGTTTCTACCGTCCTTTTCATTACTGCCTTCACAGTGAGTAACATAAATGAATAATCAAAATTTATGAACCAATGATTCGATGTGCAAACTTACTCTGGTGCATCAGTTACAGAGATCAAGTTACCGGTCCTGAATAAATATTTGTAAAAGACTTTTTTGTCAGTGCGATGATGGTGTAATGGTCAGCATCGTTGCCTTCCAAGCAGTGGATCCGGGTTCGATTCCCGGTCATCGCAGACCTTTTGGTTCATTCGAAAGCCTTCACAGTATTAAAAACATATGGGGCACTTTTTGAAAGGAAAAATGTTAACAGTTTTTAACTTGTCGGCTATTTGTAACTAAAGATGAATAACGCAACAAATTTATAGTGAGTCATGGTAGTTCCGTGATTAAACTTTTCTCTAAATTTGTATCTCATGAAAAATTATGTATATGTGGCTTTTCTTCTAAAGTTCTCAGGATATGTTTTCCAACTGCTGTTTAATTTCCCGTCCCTAGAAATTGTTATGTGTATCATCATTGGATACTGGATAGCTGCCATCTTACTATATATAAAGCGAGACTATACATCGTGGTCCGGTAGTTTCATTGCGTCCTAATATTATACATATATCTGTTACCATTTTACTGACTTCAACTTTAACAAGACTTTCCGCGAAAACCGTGAGAGATATACTTTTGAAACTTTTGGTGGCTGGATCAGAATGCTTTTATGGCCTTTTGGTCAGTATAAATAAATTTAAAAAATTAACCATGGAATAAATAATTTAGGTCCGGAAAAATGGACCCCCAGGTGGTGTCAAAATCACCAATTAAATAAATAACATTGTCTAATATCTTAATGTCTTTTGACACCACTTTAGAGAAACACGGGTTCCTGCTAGTGTTTATAAATGATCGGTCGGAAATTGAACTTTTCAAAATTCGATTTACCTCATGACTATTCAGAAAATTACAATCATAAACAGGTTAAACAGGATTAAACACAAATTTGTCAATGAGAGCCCTAACACTCACGTCTGGATTACAAACTCTTAACTTCGATTATACAGAAGTTAACTGGGGTAGCTTCAATAGCTCCACATCCCCTCTAATTCAATCCTCTTCCTTCAGAGCGAGTTCCAACAAACAGCGAGCCTGTCTCCCGGCTTTCCGTAACGCGCTGCGGAGCCGGATGAGACCCGCCACAGCGTCCCCAACCTCTTCCGGTCCTCTGAAGATCCCTCAGAGACCAGATACCAGCCGGTGTAGTGATACAGGCACTGAGTGTGAGGCTGGGAGAGGGAGTGAAGTGGCTGCTCCTGCTGCTAGACGGGGTAAACCTAAGTGTTTGAATACTGTTAGGATACCTCCTAGATTACAGCAACGCAACGGTCTCGAGGTAGGAATATGTTCTTTTATCATCTTTGTCATCTGTTATCACCACTTTGTCACTATTTTGTCATAATTATCCTACACTCTGTGCAATTGTTACCATGTTACTCCTGATATGACTTGTCTCATATCCCCATATCTTTCACCATGGCTACTATGCTTTGTGGAAAATTGATAATGCTATAACATCTCAGATATTTATCTGAGGAGCTAAGTAACTTCTAAATCTTACCCTCTCTACCTCTACAGGTGGAGGTTTGTAAAAACGGTAGCATTCATTTGCGGAGAAAACTGAAGTCCGGGACTGAAGAGTTCCGAGTTAGTGGTGACGGTATGGACATTACTGTGCTCATGGAGAATGCTAAACAGATTAGAATGTCGTATTCTACCCTGCAACCCAGGTATGTATTTTCAACTAGAAGTGAAACAAAGTTGTCGCATTATATGGAGCTAGGGTGTGGACTAGCTACACCAGTACACCTAGTTAAACCGTTCCTATCCCATTACATAATACTCAATAAATGTAATAGATTCGCAGTGTTTAAATTATTTTTATATTTTATAAACTATAAGGTTAACGAATTATGATAATATGACATTACAATTGATTAAATTTATGAGTACTGTACTATTGAGGCGCATGCCACCCCCGGCCCCTACTAGCGGGCATTACGATCAATAATTAATCCCCCAAATCTACAGATGGTACGGGCGGTACGAAAAGCTGCTGTTCTGTGTCAACCAGGTTAAATCCAGAACTCCTAAGATAACGATACACGCTAACACAGCGTCCGCTTACTACATGGAAAACGGACCTGAACCTAACTTTCAAGTAAGCAATAAGCTGGGTTCGCCATTTTGAGCTGACATTTTCATTTCAAAGATTGCATTTAACTTAATCACGTTTTTGGACTGAAAACAGATAATTTAATTAAAATTTATTGCAGGTTGTATTCAAAGACGGGTATAGGCTAAATCGTGATTTAACGAGATGTTACATAACGGATCCAGAAAAGAAGGTTACCATGGCAACCCAGACAATGACACCTTGTTTGGACATGTCCCCGCTTCTTCAGGTTCGACCTTTGTTCATATCTATTGTTTTTTTTTTTGTATATTTTAATTTCGAAGCGTGTAATAAATGTTAGAATTTATTTATTATTTATATTATATTTATAGATCAATATTTTCAATGCTATAATTTCGGTAGGATGGTATATATAACATGTTTTATTTTAACAGGTATATCTAGACACAGCTAAGCTGTTGTACAAGCAGTGTGTAGCTGTGGAGCAGTGTCTAGCCAGTATTGACGGGGTCTTATTCCCGCTCAGAATGGGAACTCCGCCTGTTAGAACCGCAGGTTAGTTTTCAAGATATTTCCTTGCGTTTGAATAGCCCGGTGTATAGAGATATAGTTGTCAGGGCCTTTTCCCATTCAATTCAAATCTCGTCAAGGCTCCATTCCAATTTCTGTAAACAATCTCATGACACGGACACTTTCAGGAAACTCAAGTTTTGCGAGCACTACGACAGAAAGCACCCAAAGTACCTCATACATGTCCCAGATGCCGTGTTCCATGGCCAACCACAATGTGTCCCAGATGCCGTGTTCTATAGCAACTCCAACTATCAACGAGCAGGACGCACAGTTGGAGGAAAAGTGCACCGTCGGTACCTCAACTCCCATCAACGGTACACACCTAAATGTTTCTTGTACAGTTTGTACATTTTCCTTGTACATTTGTTCATTTTTCTTGTGTATATATAATACTGTTTGATGGTACGGATATTCGGACATCACTTTTTTATCTGTCCAATGTTTGGGGTGACAAATTAAGCACCCAAGCGAGTTATAAAGTACCTGAATTATCTCATCGACTATAACATCCTCATCCCCCAGATTTGAGAAGATCCCCGAGTCTCGGACAACTAAACTGCCGCTCTCCGCTCACCCCAATAACTCCCGTACGACGTGCTGCGTCCATGTCACCCCAGAAACGGGCTGGAAGTGAACAGAATCCAAACAATGCTGGATATAAGAATGAGGGGGATAAGGAGAATAATAGGACTCTACAGAACGACGAGGAGTATGTGAAATACAAACCTGGGGTCGGCTGGCTTGGGTTTATGGTGAGTGATGTTTTTAATCTTACCCGATTATCGTGGTTTCAATTACGGTGCATTGTGGCAAATCTAAATATTCCTTTTCCTTAGATTATACATAATTTTGATATTGGTGCGGTGGTAAATATATTTTTGTTGATTTCTTAAGCTGAAATTAAACTTTTTTATAACAATTAACCATCTCAGAATGGCGGAGCTAAGCTGAAGTTTAAAGATGACAGTGAACTGTTGTTACAGCAAGGAGGAGAGGTCCTCCTTAAACATCCTACCGGCCCGATCACCAGGTTAGTTTCACTTTCATTTTCTTAGTTTCACTTTTACTTCATTAGTTTCACTTTCATTTTCTTAGTTTCACTTTTACTTCCTTAGTTTCACTTTTACTTCCTTAGTTTCACTTTAATTTTCTTAGTTTCACTTTTACTTCCTTAGTTTCACTTTGCTTTTTGTGATGCTCCTATTCGCATCGGTTATTAAGCTTCCTTTAAAAATGTTGAACTTTAACTTGATTGATAACATTTGAGATTATACCTAGATGGTATGCTGATCTAATCTTAAAAAACGGCCCTTGTTTTAAAACTAAAGTTATTCTCATTTCCACACTAACCCTGAAACAGCTAACATCCCCTAGGTTGCAAGGACCAGCATTAGAAGTACACAAAGACAACATTACTGAGCTGCTCAGGCTACAACAAGTTCAACAAAGATCTTAGGAACTCAGGGCTGAGAATGAGATATTTCTTCAAATGTGACATTTGCCCAATTGTGATTTGTGACACTGGTGCAGATGTGACTGTTAGTTCCAGTAGCTTCGATTGCAGAAATATATCTCCAATCTGATATAATGCAACTACTAGTTTACTCCTGAAATGTAGCAGCATGATCAAATAAATGATGTCGATAATGGACCTTGTTTAATCTTTTTTCAACGATCTTACAAATCTCATCTCGAAAACTTGTTATGAACCTTTCAAATAAATCATATTTTAGCCTCAAAAGTACGAATTAAGTATGCCTGGTGCCTATGATATTCCTAACTTGTCAATATGCCGATAGTTTGTACAGTACTGTTTAGCCTAGCTTAGTTTAGAACAAAACTTTAGGAGTTGTATGTTCTAAAAAGCGAACCACACATTTGTTTTGACACGTGCTAGCAATATGGTCACGTGCCAGCAATATGGTCACGTGCCAGCAATATGGTCACGTGCCAGCAATATGGTCACGTGTCAAAACAAGCTGGGTTTACCTTCTCAAACATACCTGCACGAATTAAGTTTTGGTGATTATGGTCTGGTGTGTTAAATGTTATTTGTGAAGCTACGGTGTTATGTTAATTTGACTTATATATGACGCCACACGATCATGGTGTTCGTTTTACCGTGTTCATTTTTAATTATTTTCTCTGTTATTTAAGGAGATTTTACTGTATTCTGTTAAGTATAAGCGCTCAATATATAACGTTATTAACGAACTATGATATAATATACGGTATTTTGTATAAATTATGTTATATCCTTATTATTATTAGTATCTGTAACTATCTATAATGATTGTTGTTTATGTTCAGTAGCTCAGACACTGTTTTGCATGATTTGTTCTTGAAGTTCAACCTTAGATAAAGTTGCTTACGTTCCTTTATATTATGTTCATAGTGAATAATTCTACGTGATTATGTGTGCTTTTAGTTCGATATCTTCCGGGATTTTGTTGATAAACGCATTAGTTATTTTTCGGTTAACTTCTTTGTTCATAGACGCGCGATTTAAAAAGGCTTTAGTAATTACTAATTATTCATCAAGATTTCATAATTGCACTATTTTCACTTACGTGAAGCAGCCAATAGAATATTAATTTTTTTGGTCGACAATAATTTGTATCTAGCAGAATCTTCGATAGCAGTGAGTAGAGGAGATAAATTTGGTATAGGGCTGAAATAGTATTGTGATAGTACTTACTTACAGAATGTCCCTTATCTTTCAGTTTCAGCTACCGATATATAATGTGAAATATTTTGATTTAAGGTGGTTTAATTCTATTTAACAAATATTTTAGTTTTTCTTGTCAAATTTCAATAGGCATACAATGTAGCTACAGTAAAACCCCGATTTACCACGCACCGATTTACCGCGGCTGTTTAGTGTTTCCTTTCCCCCAAACTAGGTAGATCGGGGTTTTACTGTATAAGAGTTTTTATGAAACTATACAAAATGTCTCAGGAGCATCCCTAAGACTTGATTTTCAGGCAGTAATACACATAAGCTAGCAATCCCTCCATAAAAGCTTCCCCCACCAGTGGATATGTAAGAACCTCCATATTAGGATCCCTTTTCTTACACTCCCTCGTCATTATCTTATACCCTGGTATAATGTACTCTGTCGCATCCTCAAAGTCTACCAGATCCAGACCCGCTTTCTTGAAATGGTCCACAACTTGATCTTTTGTTAGAATCGGATGGGGCATTTTGAGGTGCCTGTTCGCTTCCTTGCAGAGCTCCCAGTCGACCTTTCTGACAAAGTCCCAAATAAATATTTTGGTATCCTTGTTACAGCAAGCTACCACATCAGCCAAGAACTTATCTAGATTGTGGTGTGCGTAATACATGGCCCCCAGAACAAGGATATGAGTATAAGTCGGATCCTTGATCTCAGGTGCCAGATCTGTGATGGAACAAGTCAGGAACTTGCCCTGGTGGCTTACACCGTGAGATTTAGCCAACTTCTCACACTCTTCCACGTAGCCAACTCCGTCAGTCGCTACAAAGTGACACCCCGTGCGTTTAGCAATTCCCACGGTGTACATTCCTTTCCCACATCCCAAGTCTAGGATCCTGGAGTCTGGTCCTATCCCCTGGTTGGAGATAATATACTCTATCATATCCTCGTTTGCCTTTTTCAAGTCCGGGATGGTATCGACATCTACATCAGGTGATATTCTGCCGTAGTTGTAAAACCCGGGTGCTATATCGTTCCACAGATCGTTCAAGAGCTTGTTGGAGTAGTTATACTTATCATAAATTGACATTATCCTCAATCTATGGAACGGCGAAATTTAAAATTATTATAGTTATTATATCGGTAAAGTCATAAACTTTTTATTAATTTTACTCCTTAAAGAATCGGGTAACTGTTGTCAATGTCAGCGCAGCATGATATTTCATGACAAGTATAACTATAAGGATGGAACGATGTAAAAACCTATTTGCAAGTATTTGCTGAATAAACTAATGTAACGAAAGGTTGAAAGATCAATAACATGCTGATGCGTGAATAAACGATCGAGCACTACCTGTATCGTGTTACACTGCCTGTAACATAATACACAATGGCCACGTTTGGATTATTAAAATCATGCTGGATGATACCTTATATCATCCGGCAAGTTTCAAAGAAAATTAACACCATTTCAACGCCTTAATATGAAAATGTACTCTATAAATGTAATGAATATAATGTTGTCTACTTTACTCGAAAAAATTATAACGGGCTTATTCAATAAATTACTGACTGACTTAAGTCGGCTTCTTGGTCCGAGCAGCTACAATTCCTCGCCACACGTCGCGGTCAAGCATAACAGATCTTATCTCTTCAACACAGGATATGCTAGTGTCCTTCTTTAGCATGTCCAGAAACGTAAGGTGGGGCCTCCCCGGTCTCCTGTATCCATGCTGAGGGTCCCAGAACAGAAGTTGGTTTGCCAGAAGGTCGTCATGCCTGGCTACAAGTACATGTCCAGACAGTCTCATTCTTCTGGAATCTGGAGGCTATCATCGCTGATGGCTTAGGGATGTTGCCGTATAAATCACTGTTGTTGATGATTTGTGGCCAACGTATGTTCAAGGCCATCCGGAGCATTCTAGTGTAGCATCCATTGATCCGCTTAGTCATGGATTGGCTTATCGTCCAAGCTTCAGAGCCGTACAGGAGTACGGACTCAACCGTTGCTCGAAAGACACGGATCTTTAAGTCCCTGCGCAATGCGCATTCCAGACTTCCAGGTTGTCTTTAACTGATGACAGGCCCCCCATGCCTTTGCTTTCCTAACTTCAAAGTCCTTCTCCGCACTCATTAATCTGCTTCCAAGGTAGACAAAGTCATCTACTTGCTCTATCTCCTGCCCACTTGCTGCTTTAATGACGGTAGAGTCAGACTCAGAGAGATTGACTCTGATGTACTTCGTCTTACTCTCGTTGAGGTGAAGTCCAACGGAGTTAGCAGCCAGCTCCACACTGAGGAGAAGATCTTGCGCTTGCTCTGCGGTGTCTGTTGTTAGTGCAAGATCGTCAGCAAAGTCGACATATGCCAGGAGTATCTTCATCAATATACCCCAATGAATGCTATCAAAGGCCTTCTTAAAATCGATGAACAAGAGAAGGGCGGTCAGGTTTTTGTCTCTAGCCCCCTCCAAGATCCTCCTTAGACACAGAATGTGGCTGGTGGTACTGCGTCCCTCCCGAAATCCGTTTTGGTTGATGCTCAGGATTTTCTCCATCGCTGGTTTGATTCTGTTAAGGATCATACGATTCAGGGTCTTACTTACAATGGACGTAAGAGCGATTCCTCTGTAGTTATCCACTTTAGTTAGATTTCCTTTCTTTGGCACAGGCACGATGTTGAGTTGCCGCCATTGATCAGGTTTTTTCCATCAACCAGAGCGCTGTTACAGAACTCTAGAATCAGGTCGTCCATGTCAACTCTTTTGAGAATCTCTGGAGCTATGCCATCATCACCATAGGCCTTACCCTCCTTGATATACTTCCTCGCTTCCGCTAACTCCTCCCTGCAAAACAGACCTGTCTCTATATCCTGCTGGGGGTGGATGGTTTGGATAACTATTTCCTGGTCAGGTACAGATGGTGGTTGACCCAGGAGCTTAGTGAAGTGGTCTTTCCAGCTCTTCAATCTCCCCTCTGCACTATCTCCATCAACCAGGCTGCATGGCTTGCTTTTCCTGCCCTTTATGTCATTAATAAGGTCCCAGCTTTCCTTATTCTTGCACCTGTCAGCAGCAACCTCAGCCCGCCTGATCCGAGAAACAAGAGTCTCCTCCTCAACCTCTTTGTAGCTCACTGCAAGTGCATCCTTACACTCCTTAACTACCTCTCTACTCTCCTCTGTAGGATTCTCATGATATGCGTCTTTGGCTTGAAACAGAGTTCTCCTCCTCTCCGATACCCTAGGATCTTGGGAGGGGTTGTTACGTTGTCTTCTTGGGATGGGCTTAAGCAACTTATGATTGGTTGCTTTCACGGCATCCATAAGCTTTCCGTACTGAATCGTGGGATCGTTCTGCTCTCTAGATTCTTCCTCCAGTAGCATAGAGAATCTGTTTTTCACCTCCACAGAATACAAGGCTTGCAACTCCTTATTCTCTTTGAGCAGTCTGTAGTCATATCTTACTACTCTAGAGTCTAGGTGCATTCTGGCACTTTCGCAGGCTGAGTTTGACTGAACTAACTACTAGACGGTGGTCCGACCCAAGAGAGTTAAAAGAATTGGAGACAACAGTGTCCTTGACTGAGTTACGCCACTTCTTCCTTATCAGGATGTAATCAATCTGACTCTTGCTCAGTGTTCCGTCAGAGAGATACGTCATACGTCCATAGTTTACCGGGACGTTTCTGGAATCGGTGGTTTGTTGCCTCAAGGTTTCCCTCCAACAAAGTATCCCTGAGAAGCGATCCGTTTCTGTTGGATACTCGATGCCAGTACCAACCTGAATCCTCCTCATTCAATCTGCTAAGATGGGCGTTAAGATCACCAACAACCATTAGCAGATAATGGACTGGTACCTCTCCTTCTACAGATCTTAGTCCCTCGCGAAAGTCCTCTGCCTCTTCATTTGATGCTGCTTCAGTGGGACTGTTCACCGTTATTACTGTAAGCCGTGGGTTTCCATCAAAGGATATGAGAAAAATTCGCTTCCCAAACGATTTCATGAGACTCACTGCTTTGTAGGCCTGCTTGGTCAGCATAAACCCAACTCCACCAGTAGCAGCTTGTCGGGTGTTTCTCCAAGCAGGTGTGGTCACCAGGTGCACACCCTTCTCAAAACTCTGGATCTTGATCTCCTCCTCATGCACAATCCGGTGCTCCTGCACCCCTAAAACTGCAACTCTACTCTCAAGGAAGAGCGATGCTAACTCTATCCTCTTATACTGTTCCCTAACAGTACGAACGTTCAGTGTCCCGATGAACGTTTTCCTTCTACACGACACAACACTATTACTGCTCTTCTTTTCCGGTTCTGTACTTATCCTGTTTTGGATAAGTACAGAACCGGAAAGCAGCTTGTCGGGTGTCATCAAAGTCACCCACTCCTCTGCTACCTCCCTCCGCAACCTCCTCACCAAAACGAAGACCACACCCCCTACTCACCTCACTCCCAACACCATCTACGAAATTTCCTGCTCACAGTGCCCCTCCAAATACGCCGGACAGACCTACAGACCCTTGGTCCACCGCATGAAAGAACACGAACGATGTTACAGACTCAACAACGCCATCGACGAATCCACAGACAGAATCAAATCAGCCCCTGCACATCATGCCCTGACCACCGGCCACACCATCTCCTGGAACAACATCGAAGTCCTCAAATCCCTCACCTCACGCTCCCAACTTGACCTCACAGAACACGCAGCTATACAAATACGACAACCAGCTATGAACAGAACAGACCGCGCACCCAAATGTAGTTCCCTCTGGGACCCCATTCTTCCTAAAATTGCCAAATCCTTAAAGTCCAGACCATCTGGCATTTCCTTCTCAACCTCAACAGAAGACTAAATTTTTATTGACATTGTACTGTAATTTTCACTTTCCCACCCACACCTCCCCCACCCTCCATCCCTGACACCACTCAATCACATATAAGCATTGTCCACCACATCACATTCAGCTGACGACGATTAACACATGTTTATTGAAAGCTTCTACAAGTTAAATCATCGTATCTCTTATATGTTTTTAACCCAACTCCACTCAGTTTTATTTTGATACGCAACACCACCCCTATGGATCAGACAGCAAACAGTGCAGAATCCACAGAAACACCTAATCAACACACCAACCTTACAACACAAACACCTAATCAACACATCAACCCTACCACCCAACTTTCATTTAATGACTCACTCATATCACTATTTGGACAGCATGCATCCACACTGGCCAAAACCACCTCTCACAGCATAGAACACATGGCCATTAACTCATGTCACATATCATTCCTGAAAGCCTGCCGTGATCACTCACTCATCCCTAAGGGACTCAGACTCACCAACCCACTATCCACCAAACGCTCAACTGAAGTCCTCACTCACGCATCTAACCTCCTCATCACTGAAAGACTCAACCACTATCGCCTCAAATATGCACAACACAAACGCACTTATGAGCACAACCTCAGACACATAGAATCACTCATAACCCCTCAATATTTTCAGAAACTAGGACACCTCAACACCAAAAAATCCTCATACACCCACAGAAAACAACTCCTTACTCACCAAAAGAAGTTCGCGGTACTACTCTCAGAATACGACACCCCGTTCCTCTCACCCTACGACACTCTTAAAACGCTCGACATACCCTCTCCCACATTTCATGGTCCCCTCCTCAAGACCTCACCTACCCCCAAGAAAGACACCACAGCCAAAACAGTGATCAACCTCTCTGGACAGACCCTCTCCACAGCTGAAACTGACGTCCTCTCCCTTGGACTGAAGTTCGTCCCGACACCCACCTCAGATCCTACCCCCGACCTGGCTCCCCTCATACAGAATATCACTAAACAACTAGGAGAAGGCATGGAAGCCTCAGCCACATATCAGGTCACCTCTGTATTATCTAAATTTGACAATAAACGTGACATGACCACCGACAATTTGACTCCACAACAACGTACCGCTCTTAAATCTTTAAAATCTAAGAAATCTGAATTGAAATTTCTTCCTGCTGATAAGGGCAACGCCACTGTTGTACTGACTCACGATCAATACATAACCAAAGTTACCGACCACTTATCCTCAGGTAGTTACACCCTCTTAACGAAAGACCCCACTCAATCCGTTACCACTAAACTACAGAAAGTCCTCAAGAAACTACACACCGACAAGAAGATCACGACCGACCTATACCACAAGATGCGCAACCTACATCCTAGATGGCCTCAACTTTACGGACAACCTAAGATACACAAACCCGGCGCACCTATCCGTCCCGTAGTCAGCTTCTACAACACCCCCCTCCAAGCCCTCCACAAAGTCCTCGCATCTTTCCTCAAACCCCTAGCCCAGAACCCCTTACGCCTCAAAGACTCTTCCGACTTCAAACATCGCTTCGACTCCTCTCTCAATCCCTCCTTCCACTACCACGCCTCCTTAGACGTCCAATCCTTGTACACCTCCTGTGACATGCGCCTAGCCCTCAAAACTGTCATCTCCTCCTTTGAACAGAACCCCTCTCGTCTTCCCTCCAATGTCACCACCACCACCATAGGCTCCCTTATCAACTTTTGCCTTGACAACTCATACCTTGAATTCAACGGCTCCTTCTACTCCCAAGACGAAGGTGGTACAATGGGATCCCCCCTCATTGTTGAACTAGCTGAAATCCGTCTTGCTGAAATCGAGACCTTAGCTTTATCCTCATGTCCTGACCCTCCGAACACTTACTCCCATTTCGTTGACGACGGCCTTGGATCTTTCAGGGACAGAAACCACGCAGAATCCTTCCTTACATTCCTTAACTCCCTTACTGAAGACCTCAACTTTACCCAAGAACATCCCTCTACAGACGGAACTATACCCTTCCTTGACGTTCTCATCCACCCTGACAAATCCACATCAGTCTACAGAAAACCCACCCACACCAACCTCTACACCAAGTACTCCTCCTGCACCACCAACTCATCTAAGAACGCAGTCATCCGATCACTGACCAGAAGAGCCCACAACATCTGCTCACCCCAACACCTTGACGACGAACTCCAGACAGTACGACACGTTTGCCTCCAGAACGTTTCTCTTCCTTTCCATCCCTCCCTATCCAAACCCATCTCCAAGATACTCGGACAACACGACATCAAAGTCACCCACTCCTCTGCTACCTCCCTCCGCAACCTCCTCACCAAAACGAAGACCACACCCCCTACTCACCTCACTCCCAACACCATCTACGAAATTTCCTGCTCACAGTGCCCCTCCAAATACGCCGGACAGACCTGATATTGTACTGTAATTTTCACTTTCCCACCCACACCTCCCCCACCCTCCATCCCTGACACCACTCAATCACATATAAGCATTGTCCACCACATCACATTCAGCTGACGACGATTAACACATGTTTATTGAAAGCTTCTACAAGTTAAATCATCGTATCTCTTATATGTTTTTAACCCAACTCCACTCAGCTGTTTTGTTGTGTTGGGTACGACAGTACATCATCGCCTGGCCCTCCCAGATTGGGTTTTAAGCCAACCAAGTCATAAAACTGCCGACCCTCCACAAGATTCGTGTTAGGGGCTTTAACCCTAGTGCTGTTTAAATTCATCATAGCTGTTTTTCAAATAGCTAAATGACCCCATGGAGTCCCCTCCATGGTGGCAAATGGTCATTTCCCAAAGCCACGCTACCGGAACATTTGGGTTTGAACCGCAGGAACATCAACTTGAGTTGAACTTTTTATCAGACTTTAACCAATCGAATTGTCTGCTCAGGGTAAATGATGTGGTGAGTTCTTCTTCTTCTTCTTCTTCTCCGTCTTCTTCTTCTCCGACACTACCCGAAGGTAGCCACTCCTGTCCCGAGCTAGGGGGGCTAGGGTGTCAGAATAAACTAAACTTTTGCAGGAGCTATAGCCCTCTCCCTGACTGCCCGTTACCCCGGGTATGGGGGGTCATCCTTTCCACCAGAGCGTGGTCCAATCATTTGGGTCGTAGTGGAAAGTCAGAGGATATAATGACCAATACCTCCAGCTGATGCTCCGCACCTCTCTTCTTCAGAGGCTAGGAGTGCGAGAGACAACTGACGTTCCTATCTTGTCTCTCCGGGGGTCAGCTATCTACCCGTCGCCCATCCTGATTCTTGCCTGGAGTTCACCACCATCCATCGTCCAGTATCCAGTCTTCACCACGTGGAGGCATCAGGAGGACTTGTTGCAGAGAGGCTAAGGTCGACTTATTCGATTTCGACTAGGTACTGACAGAGAGGCACTAGCGGGGTACCTCCGATTCACAGCCCTGGCTTTTTAAATAGTGAGAGCACAGAACTGCTAGTCAGCGGTGATCTTTTTAATCACCTACGCATCTACAACCATTGGAAGACTAAAATAAATTATCATTATTAATTATCATTATTAATATCAACAGCCGGGGGAATTGTGAAACAGAAAAAAAACATTTCCTGCCACTTTAGGTTTGTATTGTACTTTGATCTTATTTATTGTTTTTAATCATTTCAATCTGGAGAAAAACAAAGATATCATCATCGAATAATAATAATAATAATTCGGGGCCAGAGGAAAATTATCGACTGCCAAGGTTTGATGCCTAGGCAGTCGAGACCTCTTATAGAGACCCGATATAATAATCCAATACATCTGTACACGTTTTTAAAAAGCGTGCAACCCATTATAAGTATTCAGTAATGTTTCTGAACTCTGGTGAAAATAAAAAAAGTATTCTGGTGATTGTCTCAGGATCATCTCTAAGTAAGTAAAAACTTGGAGAAAAACAAAAACAATTCACCATCGACCAATAATAATAACAATTCAATAATTCAATGCATTTGTACACGTTTTTATAAAGCATGCAACCCATTATACGTATTCAGTAATACTAATGTTTCTTAACTCTGGTGAAACTAGAAAGAATAGTCAAGTGTCTGGTGATTGTCTCACGAGCATCTCTAAGACTTGATTTTCAGGCAGTAATACACATAAGCTAGCAATCCCTCCATAAAAGCTTCCCCCACCAGTGGATATGTAAGAACCTCCATATTAGGATCCCTTTTCTTACATTCCCTCGTCATTATCTTATACCCTGGTATAATGAACTTTGTCGCGTCCTCAAAGTCTACCAGATCCAAACCAGTCTTCTTGAAAAGGTCCAGAACATTGTCTTTTGTTAGAATCGGGTGAGGTCTTTTCAGGTGCCTATTCGCCTCCTTGCAGAGCTCCCATTCAACATTCCTGACAAAGTCCCAGATGAAGATCTTAGTGTCCTTAACACAACAACTGACAAGGTTATCCAAGAATTTCTTAAGGTTGCCGTGCGCGTAGTACATGGCCCCCAGAACCATGATGTGGGTGTAGGTCTGGTCTTTTATCTCAGCTGCTGGTCCGGTCATGTGGGAAATCAGGAACTCTCCTTGGTGGCTGACTCCGTGGGTCTTAGCCAGCTCCTCACACTCCTCGATATACTTCGGGTTGATATCAGTCCCTACAAAGTGACACCCCGTGCGTTTAGCAATTCCCACGGTGTACATTCCTTTCCCACATCCCAAGTCCAGGATCCTGGAGTCTGGTCCTATCCCCTGGTTTGAGATAATATACTCTATCATATCCTCGTTTGCCTTTTTCAAGTCCGGGATGGTATCGACATCTACATCAGGTGATATTCTGCCGTAGTTGTAAAACCCAGGTGCTATATCGTTCCATAGGTCGTTAAACAGCTTGTTGGAGTAGTTTCCATAAACCGACATTATCTTGTCACTACGAAAAGAAATATTTTAGCAGTGATTATAGTAATTGCATGCAGAGCTACGTTGAAATTAAAATAGTTAAGTGGTTATACCGGGTTATACGTATGTAATGAGAAAATTTCGGATTTTTAATGTCTTCGAGCGTTCATTTCAATGTCCGTTCAAAATTATGTCCGTTCATATGATGTCCGGTCAAATAACTTCCAGTTCCGATAAGGTACAAAAATTGGTGCTGTAGAAACTGTGTATAGTAACAGAAAGCTGACAAAATAAAAAGCGAACCACAACGAAATTAAACTAGAAGTAGATAGAATGTAGGAACTGGAATAGGAACCGACTGGATATCCGGCTGAATCCGGATCCTGCCGGATATCGGACTTTAATATCCGGCTCCGGCTCCGGTTTCAAAAATTTTGCCGGATTTTTTGCCGGATATTTCATTTTTTAAATGTATTTTTGAAATCTTGAAATCCTTTTTTTGTTTTTGTCACATTTTAACTCGAATCCCTAAAGTAAAAATCAAAACTTTTTTCACTAAACTTTGAAAAACCAAAAAAATGTTTTTGGCTAATAATGAACAGAGTAGCATGACTGTGCCGCGCCGCGCACACAATCGCTAGATCGGAAAGATGCGTTACTGTGCCGCGCCGAGCTGCGATTAATTGACATCGTCAATTAAGGTCCGACTCATTCTCGATACGTACCTCCCGTATCGAGAGCTCCCGCTCCCGAGCTCGTATTACCAGTGCCTGGGGAGGCCTCGAGTAGTACTGCTTGTAGATCGTTGATTCGATATATTACCCTTGGCTATAATGTCTACTGCTAAACAGAAAACATCATCGGTCTGGTCATACTACTCAAAGGAATGAGGAACCCCGTATGCACGTTGCAAAAAGTGCTCAGTCAACTTGCAGCTTGTTGCTTGCCTATCAGAATTTCAATTATGACTTTTATTTGGTTGAAGATTAAACGAAAATTAGCTAAGCTAAAAATTATTGGAAAATTTATCTTATTGTGTAATTTCACATAATATTGATAATGACAAAAGTCTAAAAATAAGGATATAAATTTAAATTTTCCGACAAGTTCCGCGCCGGCTGCCTTATATTTGACCCTCCAAACACTGGTTTTGGTCCGGCAGAATCCGGCAAACCGGATAGTAAATTGATATTATCAGGTATTGGGCAGTGTTTACATAAGAGGTCGTTCACATTTTAGTTTTACGTTAAATCAATGATGGGGGGTTGGGGGAGTGATCAGGGGGTATTTAAATTATTATGCTGTTCGGCGGTCGCGCGCTACTGCAAGCGAAAGAGCTTTGGTTAGAGCAGCTGTTTGACGGACTGAATGCTATTGCTATAGGAGAATTACCGGTGCGGAATGAAGACTTCTCGCCATTATTCATCATCTAGTTCTACCTTCATCGAAGACTCCTTAGAATTTTTGAGAATGATTTTCGTTTAGTATGTAGTCTCAAAATTCCACTACACACTAGCGTAATTGTAATCATTTAAAATCCCACCCCCTCCCCCCCCCCCCCCCCCCCTCGGCTGATTAGTAGGACTAGGACTATGAGTATGAGCGGATTACCCATGTCACATGTGACCCATTAGCCTCATTTTCACCTTGAATATTTAAAGAATTAGATCCCGATCAATACAAGTATAATCTTTAATTGACAATAACAATTCATCGCAGCTCGGCCGAGCTCGGCGAGGCCTAGTACACAGTATGCAATATAGTACTAGTAGCGCATCTCGCCGTTTTGAATTTGTGGTTTCGAGAAGCATAATTGAGTGCGCGGCGCGGCCCAGTAACGCATTGCGCTACAAATATAATCACTATGGATTATACTTGCAACTTGGATATCATGGACGTAACATAAGAAAGTTCTTTTTGAAAAGTGATGAGGCTATAAATTCGTTAGCCTCAATTAATTGTTCCTCGCATTTCAATCACTCCTAGTCCTACTGAGTCTAGTGAGTGAGCTAGGAGTTCGCCGAACATCTCATTTAAAGCTGCCGTATCGATTTTGTATACGCATAACAAAAATCAAATGCGCAACTAAAACAAAAATGAAATTATTAAATTTTTTCCAAAAAATGAACTTTTATGGGTGTTTCTAATAATGACCAGGGTCAAGGACAAGTTTAACCGTGAAAACAGGTTTTGGAAGGATAGAAATGGTCCAACACAAGAGCAAGCGTGCCAATAGTAAATCACATACCGATACACTTATATATATACCAGTATGTGATGAGAAATAGTTAAAAATGATTAAGTATAAAAACAGGTTAGGCAAGAAATATTTGTTTAACTGAATGCTAAAGCTGCAGCAAGAATCGAATTATGTCTCATTTCATTTGTGAGATAGGGTCAGTGACTTCAACAAATTGTACTTTGAAGTAATTGTGTGGGATATATGACTATGAGTGCTTATAGAATGAAGTGTTTATCTATTTATAAATTATTAAATTTCATATATGGCTCAAAATTGTAATTGTTTAATGAAAAAAACTGACTCGAAAGCTAATCTAAATTAAAAAAATGTATTTTCATGAATATCCCGTTCACCCTGTCCCATTCTTTAGTCGAACTTCGGCACATGTCGAACTAGAGTTCAGGTAACATTATACCCTAGTTCGACAGTCAAAGTTCTCTCTTCGAATTAAAGTATGTCGAGTAGGTGTCGTCTCCCCACAACGCAGCTTTACTCTTAGGATCCGTAACCCTGCTAATCCCGTTATCAGTTATATTTACTGGAAATTCAAAAACATTCGATCTAATTTCGCGTTCGATCTAATTTCTGCGTTCGATCTAATAGTAATTACATCTTGGTGATTTCTTAAATTAAAAAATGTTTAAAAGCCTGTTTCCCACATATAAACATAGTTCAAGTTTAAGTTCCTAGTTCCTACGAACAATCACAAATTCAGATATTTTTAAATATTCAATCTAGTTATACCGGAAATAGAATATCTGCTGTACGTGTAGTACTGCAGATTTAAAATTAATATCTAATCGACGTCTGGGAAGTGTTAAAGTCAGCCGGCGTGCTTTATGGGTTTCCAAACTTTTTGAGAGTGAGACCATCTGAACATACTATATCGCGAAAAACATGACGACTTGTCTGGATTGTTGGTATGGCGTTCTTGGAGCGATCTGACCACTATAATTATATATTTATATGTCAACAAGTAATTAACATGCAAACTTGAAGCACCGTGGGAAATAAGAGTAGCAAGATTTAGGAACCATGAATTGAAACAGATTATGCACAACTAAAAACCACCAAAAGCAAAAAAGTAGTTATTACCTTTGTTTTGAAAAGAGTTCATAACAGCTTTCTCAAAACTGCAACAAAGTATCAATCACCGTGACGATTATTTGGCAATGTGATCGATGGATGGAATTTAATTGACTTAGAAATAGACTAGATCTAAATTAGAGTTCACATCACACATGGCAACTCTGTATAATTACATCATTATTCACGAAGTCAACACGATCTCTAAGATTTGTCTGCTCAATTCGTGGATCCCATAAGGGACGGGAACCCTTTAAGGACTACCGGTGGACCATGAATTTCTGCATTTTAGTGTTTCGTTAGGACTAACTAGTAACTATACTAGGGAAATGCTGAACTAAAACATATCTTATCGGACGTTATTTGACCGGACATTGCGTGAACAGAAATAATAAAATGAACACTCGAAGGCATTCGGTAAATATAATTCATTAAACTATACCTTGTCGGACCTTGTTTAAAGTTAAACGGACATCAAATGAACGCTAGGGGCAGGGCATCCAGCGTTCAATTAATGTCCGTTCAAATAATCACTTAAATCACTAAAAATTGCTGTTACAAATACAAATATTATTTTTATAATCATCACAATATTTTTTGTATATATAGTCCTAAAAATAAATACAAAATTAAATTTGGACGAATGATTTAGTGGGAGTGACACAATTGCAGCGGTGCCAGTCCAAAAATAATACTTAATCACATTCAAAATATGTGTCTCGCTTTTTATAACCAGTCAACATACATATACAGGGTGGGCCAAAAGTCAGTGTGCAAACGTTTGGTCTTATACCTCCGCCGTGTTTTATATTTGAGAGCTGTTGCTTTGCAGATGGCATACTGTACCTTCTTGTTCGAGGATTCCGTCACCAAAATTTGAAAATTCGAATATTTTAGACCACGCCCATCCAATATTAAAACGCCTATATTGTTTTCTCTAAACTTGTTGGACGCCTAATTGGACGGCAAAACGGATTAGAAATCAAGCATTTTGTGTATGAGTATCTCGTTAACAAAATTGACTGGGTGATTATCAATTATGTGACACCGTGACACGACACCTTAATTGGACAGCTCCTAAACGATTCCCGTATTGTTTAGCGGGGTTTAGGGCCTGTCATGATATCATGGATCGCTTAGGTTCCACCAGGATCTGATAGTCCTCATAATTCTGCGGCCTCTATGTATCGTTATCTCGCACAACTCCGTAGTCCGTAAGACCCTTGTAAGTTTGGCATGTGAAAATTTGCAGCCTTCCAGACATTTATTGGGTTAACGAGGTGTCGTACGTCACCTCAAGATCGGGTGACAGGGGGCTGACCAGGCAAGAACCCAATTGATTGGATCTGAGGTCACGTGATTATGAGCCTGAGGGCACGTGACTGTGACGTCACCAGAGCTTGTTCTCCGTTTCCCGCTAATTGGACCAGGTGAGCTTGCATGCTTGTGAAATGTGAATGTGGGTTTAAGTACAGCTGTACTGCAGTTTATATCTACCTTACAAGACATTTTTGTGGCGGACCAATTTGCGACGACCGAAATTTTGGCGGTCCGAAAATATGGCGAAATTGAACAAAAACCGTCACATTTCGGACGTCACAGAAAATAAGGGTATTTTTCATCATTTTGTTTTCTGACACAAAGGAAATTCAAAATTTTCTAAAAATCGGTAAAATCATGTTGAAACAAAATG